TGAGCGGTACCGCCTGAAGTACAGCCGGCTGCGGCGCGCGGCGCGGGCGCTGGTCTTCGAGAACGGGGCGCTGTGCGACGAGGTGGCCCGGCTGGAGGCCAAGTGGCTGCGGGCAAGAGAAGAACGAAGGTTCCTCCTCATCAGGCTCCTCCAGCTTCGAGCTGTGGTGGGACCTGAGAAGATCACCACCGGTGAGGTCATCAACCGCCGGCCACGGCGCGGTGGGTCAAGAGATGGAGGGAAAGATGGGGTGAGGTCAAGTGGAGCAAGAGATGGGGCAAGAGATGGGTCAAGGTCAACTGGACCAAGAGATGGGGCAAGAGATGGGTAGTCAAGATCAACTGGGTCAAGAGATGGGTTGAGGCCAAGTGGGTCAAGAGATGGTGGGAGGTCAACTGGGCCAAGAGATGAGTCAAAGTCAACTGGGTCAAGAGATTGGGGGAGGTCAACTGGGCCAAGAGATGAGTCAAGGTCAACTGGGTCAAGAGATGGACCAAGAGATGAGTCAAAGTCAATTGGTTCAAGACCAGTTGGGTCAAGAGATGGGACAAGACCAGTTGGGTCAAGAGATGCTCCAGGAGAAGGGTCAAGGGCCAATGGGCTGCGAGATGGACCAAGGACAATGGGGTCAAGAGATGAGTCAAGAGATGGGTTGAGGCCAACGGGACCACGAGATGGCCCAAGAGATGACTTGAGACCAAACGGGCCAAGAGGTGGCCCCAAGCTGGATATATCACTGGCGGCCATCTTGAGACCACCTGAAGATACCTCCAGCCTGGCTGAACCACCGGCGGCCATCTTGAGGACACCTCCCCGCCGACGTGGTGGAACATTGACCCTACCCTTGGTCTTGGGACCTTTGACAGTCCACAGCTTGGGTGTTGGTGGTGTAGGACCAGGAGCCATCTTGCCTTTGGGCTACCGTAGCACCCGGTTCTTTGCCAGCACCCGGCGGCCATCGCGCCGTTGTCTCTACACCTGTCGGATCGTGACGGGTCCTCGTTGTGAGATCGTAGCCGAGGAGGATCATGGGAAGGTTCTTGTTGGTCCTACACCTGACATCTG